AAAAAAAAAAAAGAGAGAGAGAGAAAACTAACCAAATACAGAGACTCTGGACCCTGATTCAATAAACCCGTTTATTTATTGTTGTTCTTAAGTGCGGCTGAGTCAGTTCCGACCCACAGCGCCCCTGTATAGGGTTTCCGAGGAGTAGCTGATGAGCTTAAATCACCGACACTGCAGTTCAATCGGCTTTGCAGTCTGATGCATTAACCCACAGCACCACACCAATAAACAGTTATGAAAAGATATTCAGCACATATGACCCAGCAACTCCAGTCAGGAATATATGAGCAGGAGTGCTAGGTTCATTGCAGCGCTTTTGAAAACAGCCAAAAAAATGAAAACTGTAAAAAACGCAGTTTACTTGTGCTTTACTCTCTATACAAAGGCTTTCAGCTATGTAGATCATGACAATTTACAGATGACATTGCAAAAAATGGGTATTCCAGAGCACTTAACTGTTCTCTTGAAGAACCTGGATATAGAACAAGAGGCAGTCGTTCAAACAGAACAAGGAGACAGTGTAATGGTCTAAAGCTGGGAAAGGTGTGCACCAGGGCTGTATTATTTCAGCATACTTATTCAATTTGTTAACTGAGCAAATAATCCGAGAAGCTGGATTATATAAAGAAGAACATGGCATCAGGATTGGAGGAACACTCATTAACAACCTGTGATATGCAGATGATACAACCTTACTTGCTGAAAGTGAAGAAGAGGACTTAAAATACTGATGAAAATTAAAGGCTCTAGCCTTTGGTATGGACTGCACGTCAATATAAAGAAAAGTCCTCACAACTGAACCAATAAATAACATAATGATAAATGGAGAGAAGATTCAAGTTGTCCAAGGCTTCATCTTGCTTGGATCCACTTCAACACTCATGGAGCCAATAGTCAAGAAATCAAATGATCTATTGCATTAAGCAAATTTGCTGCACAAGACTTCTAAAAGTGCTCAAAAAGCAAAGATATCAGTTTTAGGACTGTGGTACATCAGTCCCAAACCATGGTGTTTTCAAAAACATGCATGGGGATGTTAGACAATGAATATGGAGTTGGAGAAGAAAGCACTGCCAGAAAGAGAGTACAAAAAAACTGCCAGAAAGAAAACTACAAAACACTCCTATAAGAAACCAAAAGAGACCTACAAAAATGGAAGAATGTACCATGCTCCTGGATAGGAAGACTTAACATTGTGAAAATGTCAATACTGCCCAAAGCAAT